ATATCAAGCTCACCACGGATCAAGAATACTTTGATCCGTAAAACAGTGATTAAAGTAAGTGTATGTACACTGAGAGACACCTTTCTCGGTGTATGTACTGTGTCTGTGTGTAATGGACTGAGTCGGGTCTTTGATTATGGTGAGTGAGACGTTGCCAGGTCTTGCAGCTATGATTGCTTAAGAGGAGCCTGAGTTTCCCTGTCTCTTAATATAATATTTACTTTTCCACTATAATCTACCTTGTCCATAATTACTATCGCACTTGTTTTATCTGCTTTCGTAAGGTGAAGTCCAGGATCTTTCCTTAATTCATGGTATAACTTAATAAATCTCTGAGCTTTGCTCACACCTCTGCAACACAATTGTCCTCAAAGATTTGTTAAGTTATACCATGAATTCAGGAAAGTTCCTGGACTTCACCTTACGAAAGGAGATAAAGCAAGTGCGATAGTAATTATGGACAAGGTAGATTATAGGGGAAAATAATACATTATTAGAAGACAAGGGAACTGACGTGCCGCTTAACACCCGCACATGATTAGGACATAATCAAATAAAAATGAATTCTTCCTTAATTAAACTGGAGACACAGTGATGGGCAGTTTAGAAAACCTTAGTTGGTCGGATATGTTCCGCCGGCCATATTTTGCGTACCCCATTTTGCCCATGGACGTCCTTGCTATCACAACTGACACTTGCCGCCGCTCACTGGTCACTTGGGCCCCTGTCTTGGATTGTCACTTAAGCCCTCCTGTCACAGGCATGTCACAAGCATGTCACAGACATATACCTGGAGAACGGGATGACTGACCACTGGTCTTCTCGGTCATCTTCCCGGTCCTCGTTATCTTCCTACAAGTTGCCCAAATTTTTGGCTCTCGCAGTAAAATGGATAAAAAGATAAATATTGCACAGGGAGAGAATAAAATGCCTTTACAATAAAAATCCATTCACAGAAATAGCCTTCCATTCCACCAGTCTTTTTTTCTTCCATGCTCCATGAATAACCATCCCTTATTATTATTTTTTATTGATTCGCCTTTTCCAAAACCAGTACGAAATTTCCCGTTCCATCGGTCATTCGCTTTTCATAGAAGCTGAAATACATTTTTTCGGGTTCATCGTAATTTTTTAGGGCCGAGCAGAACCCTGATTACGGTGTGAACTATGGGATAAATGGCTTAGGGATATTTAAAATAAATCGAAAGTAATTTTCGGGGAAAGAGGGGCGATGTGGGCGACTTTTAAATCAAACCCGTGTGGGTTGGACCAAACCCGTGTGGGTTACGCCAAACCCGTGTGGGTTACACCAAACCCGTGTGGGTTACACCAAACCAGAGCTAGTTAAGGCTCGAGCCTCCGTCCATTGAAGACGAAATTGATACGTTGCTTCACTGTAAGTGGAGGGAAAAAATCCTACAACGAGAAAATGCATTTGGTTTAACGAGGTTCCGCCATTCCCCCCCCCCCCCTTTACATTAGATATGCAATAGGAAGAAGGAACGAGAAGGAGAGGATAAGGAGCAGCAGCATCAGTAGGAGGGCCATCATCCCAGATGCGTCAAATTTAAACCTTCCCACGCGTGCCGGCGCATAAATGGCTGTCTTTCCGGGCCAGGCAGACGTTGAAATGTCACATGCGGACCGGCGTTTAAATGTCCAAGGCTCGCCGATGTGAAGTGTGCCCAAGTTTAAATTGTTATGTTTACATATTTTAGACTAGCATAAGTGGTTGTTGTTGCCACAACAATTACCTCTTCTTCGTTTTCTTGTTGTTCTTCTTCTTCTTAAGAAAATGGTTATAATTGACCATGACTTTTAAAGGGGTGGGCCGGTAAGCCAGTGGAAGGCCTTGGACAAATGACCAAAAGCTCCAACGCCGGGTCACCAGCTGACTTTAGATCCGCGTCAGGAAACACGTCCTGTTTCCT